TCATCTAGGAATACTCATCTGTGAATAGCATTGTTTTCTTTAACCAGACGAGACAGAATCCCTCATCAAATTAGAAAATAGGCTATGCAATTCAGAATCAGACAGCCACGTAGTCAGCTACGAAGTATCGGTTTATATCTCGCCAAGGAAAATGAACTCATTTGGCTCGATACACCAACCTTTATGACCTAAACCAATGTCCTAATACATGCTCTTACACAGATGAATGTTTTGGAATACAAAAAGGCCTCGAATATCAAAGAATTACTAAAAAACTACAGTAAATCCCGGGCAGTTATTGCTGTTCTATGATACGATTGTTTAGAGTAGTTCGTATCTAGAAGAGCTGTCGACCGGGCTTGAGATCTCTTCGTCTTTAACAGAAAACTTTTCGCTATCCCAAATACTCAGATGAGTAATAAGCGGCAGACTTGAAGAGTTGTTTGACTTGAAGAGTCGATAATTCTGAGTTTCGTGCGATTGCGCGCTGTATGAGACATCCAAGTGCTTCATTTATCTACGAAGTATTGATTTATATCTCGTTAGTATAAAAGATACAGTAAATCCCGAGCAGTTTTGCTGTTCTATGATACGCTTGTTTACAGCCGAGTTCGTAATGTGATATTTCGTTTAGAGATCGGAGTGCGATCGGGGGCAAAGGTACACACGAGTCCGCAATGTGATATGCGTTCGGGACGCAAAGGTCAGCCCGAAGACAAAGGTCTCACATAGAAAAAAACAAAACAAAACTATACGCGCTGCATTTTCTGACTCGTGACCCGGCCAAGGGCCTGGTCACGAGTAATTATAAAAATATTTTATTTATTAAGGCTTCCTTAAAAAAACGCCTTGGTGGACAAAGCATCAGTTTTTTAGTGCTTTTTTCATAAATTATTTTTTTGATTTTGTTTTCGTTTGCCGGGTTTTTCTATTGTGTTTGCTTTTGTTTTGTTTGTTGATTTTGTTCTTGCTCTTGTTGCTGTTGCTTTCTTTTTTCTTTTTTTAGACGTTATAGTTGCACCAGGGGTAGGGTAGGGATAACTTGACACTCATTTATCTACCCTTTCCCAAAATGCAATTGTGATCATGATTTCGTGTATAATTTTGTTTTAATGTAAGGCGTCCAAGCAATTAAAAATAGAGTACAAACATTAAATGTGTGCAATACTTTGCACTATTTACTACAAAATAGTGTTAATTAAACAATTGAAAACAATAGAATTAGAATAATTTAGCAGCATTTAGTGCTATTTATGTTGCACAGTTTTAGTGTTTGTAATCTAACTTTATCCAAATGATTTGATAATTCAAAAAGTCATGTACCGCTTGGAACTAAGAGAATATACTCTATTTTCGTTGGGTTTTTAACGATAGATATGCCGTTATATTCGTGTAACAATTAGTCAAAGCATACACACATTATTTTTACAATATTATGCACTTATTCCAAGTAAAGTATATTATGCTAAATTCATATTTAATTATAGAGTGCAAACTATAGAGTCATTTTTATCCGTCTGTGAAATAGGAATTGTACTATTAAATACTATAACTCCCTATTAGCTCCCAATAGTTTAACTTATGACATGCGACAGAAAATTAGGGAAACACGTTTTGATTTTGACGTTTGGTAGGCTACTACACCCTAATAGTTACTACTAAACTCTGACTAGTAGTAATTGTTTCACAGACGAATGCATGAAAATGACTCTATACCTGTCAAATAGTGTGAATTACACTAAGACGAGCAAACTCATTCCTAATAGACAATATGTCATGTAGAAAACAAAAGAATAGGCATACTAATGCGTCTCTTTTCAAAATATTCATAAAATTACAATCAAGCACTAAAAGGTGAAATTTACATTTGTCTTGGCGGACATAAGCCTATATGGGAATGATTTCTCTCCAGACTGTTTAAATCAAGACCAGAAGCAGACAATATGTAGCGTGCGACGGCCGCCTGTATAATGCGAATTTGTAAATCGAAATGTAGAGAATCAAACGTACTGTTTCATTCAGTCCAAAGAAAAATACAAAGACAGAAACACGTTCTAAGACTCAGTGCAAACCCCAAATACTGACGAATGCAATAAACAGCTTCGTATTAACAGGGGCGGATCCAGGTGAGGTGCTTTGGGTGCGGACGCACCACCCCTTTTTGGACGACGTATTTTTTTTAAATTGTTTTGCTACTTATGCTGCTTAACAATATATTTGAGTAGTGTAGTCAAAGATACGTCGCAATAAAAGTCAATTTGCTTCCGTTTAAATTGTGCTTAATTTTTTTTCCTGCAGCTAACAAAAATGATCAGTTCCATCTGCTATAGTTTTTACCCATATATATTACTGACAAAAGCACCCCCTTTAAAAAAGTGCTGGATCCGCCGCTGCGTATGTAATCTACAAATATGATGTTAGTGTGAAAAATACATTAATTACCACAAAAGGTAGAAATAATCCTTTGACTTGGAACATGCATTTTGCATTTTGCATTTTCATAAAAGTTGTCGGATAAAATAGCGAATGTCAATTGTCGAACGGCGATTGCACGACCGAAAGTAGCCATGGGTATTGGTAATTGGCGAGAAATAACATTTGATTTGAAATGTAAGATAATCTGTAGTAAACATTGGCTTCATTCAGTACCCATTTCTATGCAAGGTGAATCAAATAAGAAAAAAATTGTTTGTTAAAACAGTGTAACCTGAGTTCCCCTTACTTCGAGCAGTCTCCCTTCGACGCTCGTCGTTCACCATTCTCTCGACAACGATTTTTGAAATAGGTGTATTCCGCCGAGGTATAGTCATTTTTTTAACAGCCCTGACAGCTTTAGCTTTAAGCCTAACAGCTTTATACGCCTTGCATAGATTATGCAAATGCATGATTGTTTTGTACATATTTATACAACTCCGTATTCAGTTCAAGCATCGGTGCTATTCAAGTGCAGAGACCCGGGATCTGGTTGGTGATCTTCATTATTGTTGCGTACTTTAAAATTCGTCGCAAAGTTTTCATATGCATGACAAACTGTAGGGCTATCCTGAAAAATAGTGTTTAAAGAACCAATTTTTTTTTTTCAATTTGATNACCTTTATAGGTCAAAAGGATAAGCGCTGCCATAATCATTAAGTGCAATATGGTGTGCAAGTCTCAGTGTTTGAATGGAAAAAATGTATTTGTAGGTTAGCCATCATGAACAAATAATTTCTTACAACTCATCAGGTGTGATGGTTGGCTTCTCCAATCGACGACCACTCTTTATAAAGTCGAGCAGTTCTTTGAAATTAATTGCTCCATAGGGATGTCGACCTGTACATGAAAACGATTATGAAAGTATTAATAAAATGGCTATCGGTGTGCAGAAGACCCACATCCATCATAGTCCACAATCGACTGTTTATTTTCCCCTTGACCGGCAAACGAGCTACAGGCAAATCTGTACTAACTTAATAAAAAAATCGTAGAAATAATCATAATAATATAATTCAGAAATGTCTTAAGATTCAAGTGTACTGAGTTTATAATCAATAATATATTAGCTCATCAGTGTCCTCGTGACATACTGAGATGTTTTGACATAAATTAAATATATCTGCAATTCATTTTAATTTTACCTTTGGATTCGATTTCCCAAAGAAGAATTCCAAATGACCATCTAGAAATATTATAAATACAACAAAAAAGGTTATTTTCAGGCAGTAGTGGCTTTTAATTTCAACCAGTAAGCCTTTGATACCGGGATCATAAATACGCTACTCAAATTGCTTGGATATTTGAAATAGTGTCAAGAATGGACGGCATAAAGCTTAAAGGTAAAGTAGATTGCATGCCACAGAAAACTGCATACAAGAGTTATAAAGTATCGATATTTTTATCTGAGCATGTCTTGAACAGCTAGCTACACCAACCACTTTGACTGCTACAAAAGCCAGCAAAAATTGAGCACTTACACATCGGTTTTGGAATTAAACCGTCTCATCTCAAGTGATTCCAGAGCCATCCATCTGGTAGGCATCTTCCCCTTATAACAGAAAAATAGGTCAAAGCGTCAGAAATCATAAGAATCTCTGCCAGAGTATAGGAGTATCTATTGCTATGTAAAAAGATCATAAGTCAAAAAAAATTATTTGAGGATTAAAAAGAATGATCAAAGTGGTTGAATTAGCATTTAAAATATGAAATTCTTATGAAACGTAGCTTTTGTAAATTGTATATTAGTATAACATATATGCAGGGGGTAGAGGGTCTCGAATGTACAGAAGAATGATAAACAAGGGAATGGCAATGGATGGAATCATACCGTCGTTGTCATTTCATAAGCTCCACTTTCATATATATCACGTGACAATCCAAAGTCKGCTACTTTAGCCTCGAGTTTCCCATCCAAGAGAACATTTCTGGCAGCAAGATCGCGATGAACACACTGCGAAATATTTGCACCATATTGATGATAGGGGATAATTTTAGTCAATTATAAGTAAAAAATACAACAATCTACTGATTAAAAATAAGATGAATAATTAAGCAAAGCTGGGACGTCAGCTTTATCGATTTACGATTAACTGTGAAATTACATGAATAGTTCGCTATGAAATCTCAAAGTTTGCAGCATCCGAGTTATGATACTATACTTACCCTTTTCTTTTCCAGAAAAGCCATTCCTTTTGCCACGCCCAGTGCTATGCTCAATCTAGTGTTATAGTCAAGTGGTCTTTCATTATTCTTTTCAAGGAATTCTTTCAATGAACCATTTTCAGCGTATTCCACAATGACGTACAAAATGCCTAAATGGATAAAATATAAGCCACCTATCAATAGGCTAATCTTTGCTGGCGTCTATGATTATTATTTTTTCATTATTTTATTCCATTAAATATATCAAAAAGACATAGCATATGCGAATTGATTGTTTAACTATCATCATGTATACTTTTGAGGCTGTTGATATCGGCTTTTTCCATTTGGAGTCTATAAATTAAAGTAATGCAGGTGACGAAGCTGTTGCTGGATCTCTGCAATACGCTCCCCATTGGCACATTTCTTTACCTTACATGAATGAACGATAATCAAAAAGCCAAGAAAAGCATCATGTATTGAAAAATGTTCTTTTGAAAGAAAGACAAAGAAGCCTCGTGCTGGTTGACTTTAAATTAGTATTTTGACTGCGCAATTTGTAAAGACAAAATTGCAAATATTTTCTCCACATTAGNTGCATCAAAAGATGAACGTCATTACCATGAGAATAAGGACAAAGGCAAGGATGGGATTGCTTTAGGTTATTTCGAAGAGATATGGTAACCTTTTGTGAAAACCATTCCTCGACATTGAGCAAGGTTAGTTAAAGCCTCTTCAGCACTAGCATTTCTCTGTTTTTTCCGTTGTTTGCTTGTTATTTGTTGTTATTCCTTTTTTGTACATGTGCTTTTTAACCTGAAAAAGCGCGTGTTCTTTCTTTTCATATCATCATGGTTTGTAGAAGGAAATGGTTAGGAAGCCTATTGTAGTTTTGGTGTACTTTTTTCCAAGCGTGACCGTGCACAATCGTTTGTTGAACAATTTCCTTAGGCATACTGGTCACACTGAATGAACAAAGCGAAAATTATTCTTTTGGTTATTTCTTTCAAAGTGCACAAAAATGTTTAACCAATATTGAAATATTGTTATATATATAGTGTTTATGTCCACTCATTTTGCAGTTTCCATCGTCCGTAAGCAAAAAGGTCAGTGCACGGTCTTGAATGATTCAACTTCAAAATACATACAAAAGAAATACAACAGAAAATTTCCAAACCATTCCCTTCTATTAATTACGTATGATATCATATGTCACCTCGTAAAGTCTTGACAGCGCATTCCCTTGGTGTTCCACCGTCTAGCAGTTGACCCTTGTAAACAGCTCCAAATTCACCTTCTCCAAGCTTATTAGAAAGTACCAAATCTTCTTTTGGAAATGATTTCCATTGGTGAGAATCATAGCTTATGTTTGTGTATGACTTCAATTCTCTGCCAATATCCTCCACATAGAGCTAATAGATTTGGTGCAAATCACATATCATTCAAAATATCAAGAAAAACAATCTTAATGTAAATAGAGTTGTTTTCTAAATAACATTTACCGAGCCAGCTTTAATACTTTTGGCGTTTTTCATTKGGAACACTTCCTCGTGTTGTCTTCGCCGGTTTTCTTGTCTAATTCGTCGGCAACAAATAATAACCAAAGCTACAATGATGATGATGAATATGACACTACTTAACACGATGAGGGCGATTTCCCAATCTTTGAGTGTTCCTGAATGAAATAAAATCTCATTTGAATATTATTTATACATGTGAGTAGTTTGTATGGTATGAATTAGCCAATGAAAATTTACAACTGTTGTTTATTATATTAGATTAATATGATTGTCATCGAGTGTTAAAGCACGTTATGAAAGTTATGAACACTAAATAATATGAATTTCTCTATGCTTGCACGGAATGGCTAGCAAATAAAGGGTCATGTTTCAGGAGAAGCTGGCTTTTTGAAGAGATAAAAACAATACACATATGTTGTCATGCTCTCCTAAATACATAAGCAAGAAGGTCTAGCTAGTGGCTGAGTGTCTGCAATTTACGCCCGAATAAGTTCTTTTTGTAGAACATGGCCTCCTCCACATCTCCAAATGCATCACAAAAAATCACGGGCTTCTTTTCTTTTTTGGAAGTTTTTTTCTTTTCTAGTCACTAGTCCATAGCGGTCAAATTAAACGTTATAAAAGAAGCCCAAAGGGGAAAAAATAGTTGCTTGTTGAGGAGGCTATGTTGAACATGCCTTTTAAATTCGCATTTTTTTTCAATATATATTTAAAAACTCACTTTTTTTAGTTCTGAATTCAATAGGGTCTCTTCCTTCACTATTTCCATTGCTGTTGACTGCCAAAACTTTAGCTCTGTATGGTTTATCTGATTCCAACCCTTTGTACAATAATAAACAATTTCATTAATTATGACGTCACTGTATGTCTACATCAGAAAACGGTGCTAAGAAATAGTTGAAATGTGGTCTCCAAAAGTAGAACTTCAGTGAATCGTGTCTTGATATACATTTATTTAATGTATAGATGAGTGCTCATGTAAATTTATTTTATTTACAGTCACTCTTGTGATCATAATCCTAAGCTTTAAAACAATAAAATGCTACATGTGAAGTCATAATGAACTAGGACAATTAGACCACGAGGTCGAGCGGACTACGAGTTCAGAGAAAAAAAAAAGGTATGAACTAGTTATTCTACATATAAACCGAGGAAGATCAAAGTCAAAAGTCTCCCTACCTAAAATTTCCCCTACCTCTGAATTCAGCTGTAATGTCGCCATGACTGACAGTTTTTGTTCTCGGGCTTGACTCCTTCCCATGAGCCCAGCACTGGATGAAATAATTCTTGACAGCAAAATATTCGTAGTTTTGTGGCCTATCCCAGATAAATGATACTCCATCTTCATATATGGTTGCGGCATTCAAGTTTTCAGGAGCAGGAGGGGGAGCTAAAAACATAGTATGACTATCATTAGCATCGCCATTGCTGTGTTGTACAATATAAGTACGATAAAAATAGCAACAGGCTCTATTGTTTATGTCTCGTTCTTTAGAGTCACTCTGTGTTGAGCCAACCTATTACCAGCAATGTTCTTTGGCGCTGCGACCTGACCAGTTGCTTTCGAGAGACCGCTACTTAAACCAAACCGGCGAACTGTAGACATTATAAATGAACATATTGTAGTTCTACGAATTAGCTAGTCGGAAATATATACTACAGAGGATCAAAAGGATCTTGAATTGGAGGACCCTTGGGATATTGGCCAGTTGCTGTGTAACTATCCTTCTTAGAAGATCGTGTCTCTTTACACTTAGTAATCATTGTACTAATTTTTTGGACACTTGTGTGGTGTTCATATAATCGTTCCAACCGTCCAAAAATAGGCGTTACACTGTTAAGAAACTTGTGTTGCAACGGTGTTGCGAGACAAGTTGCCGAGAAAATTGACCAGAACAGGACCTGGAATGAGCATTGACTAAATATGACTAAATATACGGAGGAGTTACCTCCATGCGATCTGAGTTCCGAGAAAATTATCATGATTGCACTTTGGAAAGTGTTCAGAATAAAGCTACTTACAGTCGATTTCCATTGACTCGGGACTTGAGTCCACTTGTAAGTTCGCCACAAAACCCGTCTTCAGTCTTTTGATGACTTCAATTGTCACTTTGACTCTAGTACCGACTGTTCGCTGATTTTCATCTTTGACCGTCAGACGGATAATAACCCGGTATCGCACCCTTACACTGCCTTTACTGTATCAAAAGAGTTTTATTCGTATTAAACAGAATTTTTCGAAAAAGAAAATGTCATTTCCCAAATTAGTAGTCATTCATTTCTTTTTAAAATCTGTCTTTTTTTATAAAATACGTGCTGGAAATATTCTTCATATAACACTCAAAACAAACAACTTTTCCTAACAACATCAATACAAATACTCACACTAGCTCCAATATTTCGACTCCTTGGTATCCCGTGAAGTTTTTGTAGACTATATCCATCTAAATGAAAATGAAATTTAGCATAAATATTCACCCATTCATCAAACTGTACAACATCAACAGGGATAAGCATTGTGTTCTATAAACGACGCATGAGTAATTTATATTATATTTGATATCTTACACGCTCTTGGATCTTGGTCGAGAATTGTGCGTTATTTGAGTACACATGCAAGAATGACGACATTTTAACTCTCTAGATCTTGCGCTGTGATTGGTCAGAATCAGTGCTCGCTCTCCGTTATGCTCGTTCAATCGTTTCAATGAAATTTAGCACTTAGGAAATACTAAACGTAAATTATTATATAAACAAATAGATTCCATTTTTTCGTGCGTCATTACTCTAATAGACACAATGAAGACGTCAAAATACGACGAGAAAAACAGCCATGAGCCTCGATACAGTCTTGGCGTACTTTTTTTATCTAATCAAAGACTTGACGTCATCGGTATATTAGAGGGAATAAAAGCACGGAATAATGTAATCTATTTGTTAAATGTAACTCCAAAGTCTATTCTTTTATCATTTCATAATACTCCGAATCTATGCTGTTGCAGTAAATTCTTCGTTTTCACTATACGTCGCAGCGGCCATCTTGAAGGAAGTACAATAAAGGATTTCTCACTAGTATATACACTTTTCATTCCTCGAACATGGCCGCCGGTTATTTATCTTTTGCCTTTGAATCTCACTGGAATGGTTGAAAACGATCAATTAAAAACAATACCTGTGCCTGGAAATTTGTCTCGAAGTCCTTGAATTCCTTAGATGACTTGTTTGTCATGTTTTTGGTGAAATTCCAGTTCAAAACGCGCAGACTCATTTTCACTTTGATGGTTACTATGCACATTAAAAATGATTAATTTAATATTTCAATGACAAGTAAAGTAACTTATCAGTAAAACTGATTGGAGCAGACGGTTTCCGGGTGATGTGCATGAAGGTTAGTAGTCAGTACACCACATAGTTTTTTTAATCTATTTTTTCACTAATACATACATGTTTCCTACCTAAAACCCATAAGTTGATTGTATTGGTACCATTGCATCGAGATTCCCTCTTGATACATTTGTAAATCCCTGCATCAGAGATCGTTGCGTTCTTAATTACGAGTTCTGAGCCCTGTATCTGTATTCGACTGGATGATGACTTGATTTCTTTCTCTTCTTTTTTCCAAACTGCAGTACCATTGCTGCACACTCTGCAACTAAGCTTGATGTCCCCGCCTTCTTTGACAGTAGAATTAGTCTTCAGTTCATGATTCTTAACATCAACTTTGTTTGTAAATAAAAGACAAAATTAAAATAACAATTACTAGGCGCACATAATAAAATATGTAAACTCAGCGCATGCTCTGACTGGCTTATGTATGGCCCGCGAAATGAAATTTTCGGGTAGAATAAAAATCGGTTTTGGCTCGGAAATCGTTCGGAATATTACTCGGATTAATTCAACGATAGAGAAACAAACATGCTTCGGAAATCGTTCAGAATATTCGGATCAATTCGAAGACCTGTAGATAAAATACTGATAGACCTCACAAGCCTTTTACAGTTCTTGTAAGGCATAAGTTGTTCTTTTTGTCTACCAACTAGGTTTGCTGGTAGCGTTAAAATGGATACGGTCGCTTATCGGAACAGCTCGAAGCGTGAGTTCTTCGAGCCTACGATTAACGACAAAGCGACAACTCCAGCACTTGATCAGAACCCATAGCAATAATAAGCAAATTCATACTTACCATCAAATTTACTTACCTGTGTTCGATTAGTTAGATGTACAAACCTTTTCACGACTGTTTATAGTGATATGTGTAAATATTATTAAGCATACTTAACTGAATTTGATGAATTATATGGTTTGGGAACGATGATGAAACCTGAAAAATAAACCAAATAAGATACTTGGTTAGATACGCGGACAGAGGAGTTCGCAGGGGTTTGGTTTCACGAGCAAGGGTTCCAAGGTTTTCAAGACTGTAAAGATCAGAAGGCAGCCGACTACAAAATTACTTTGGATTCACAACGACTATCCAAAATGTGATAATATTTTGACTTGTAAGGAATATTCTCATATTTTGACAAAGATTGTAAAAAAACGGGCCATTCCTGGAGGACACACTTCGCACGGAGAATTTATTGCGCAAGTGCTTTTAAAATACAAGGTGATGAGTTTGACAAAACGCTCTAACGGATTACGGGAAATATATTGCAGTACCATTGCTGCACAATCTGCAACTAAGATTGATGTNCATTAGAAAATACTTGGAAATCAAAAAGAATTATCCATATGGGTCTAATAATCATGAAGCAACAGATTTCAAGAAGACATTGATACAAATCTATAATAATTTGGGCAAAAAATGTTGGAGTAGATGACGTCATTTACTCCATCCTTTTGTTCTTCCATCTTTTGAATCAAAATTTCTCTGATGTGGGACAATTCAAAAAAAAATATTTTCCCGCAATTGTTTTAATAGATATATGTGAGTCATATATTTGTATTGCTTGAAGCTTTGAAATAAGGCCATTTTCATGCAAGTAGCACTTTAATAAAAAACATGACCTTCCGACAACTTTAGAAAGTACAAAATAAATGAAAAACTGAAAATATATGTCAAGAAATTCGAAATTTCGAAGCATCAAAACACGAGAGTAGACTATATATAGTGAAAAGTCAAAATAGTTGAAAGTCTCTAGAGGTTTATCATTTATTTTACAATAACTGATAATCAATAATATATAATCGTTTTATTTAGGAATTTTGTAGCCCAGGTAGTTGACATCTCAAATATATAGAGGATATTACATGGGCCGCGCGCAGACTGATACGGAATTTATCTCAGTTCGAGGTTGAAAAGATCTCTTGAAGATATTTTCAGCTTGAAGATATTTAAAACAGCGAAAAAAGGATGTACCATGATTTGTTAAAATAAATGTCTTGGTTCAGTTTGAAATGAGATTTCAGTTGTTCTTTTACCCTGGAAAACGCGCGCAGTTCTGGTAAAACAGTTATTTGTGGTAAAAAAAACAATTACGATTCTTGTGGTATGTCCTCTTATTTGCCACAATTGGGATCATCTCATCGTCTATAGTTTGTTTTAGACGCGTACCACGCGAAACTATCGTAAATTTGTTAAATTACATAATGAAAGCAAATTATGTGTAAAATACTTTTTTATCTTACTTACACTATATAGAGAAACCTCAAATGCGTTATTTTCTCTAGTGGAAATAACAACTGTACGTAATGGAGAAATATAAATATTTTATAGATAAATCTATGATATTTATTTATTGTTGTGAAACTTAAGATTATGATGCTTGAATAACGAACCATTAATTAACATTTTTTTTAAATTATTTGAATTCCTAAGATCTGTTGTGGTGACTGAGAAAAATAAAACAAAATAAAATAAAATAAAATAAAGTAAAATAGCGAGACTCAATTATGCACCCGATATATTGGTCAGATATAGCGGTCACAAATTTTGCAAATAACTGTCTCTAGATACGACGAAAACATAATCACGTAAGTATAATGCCTTCTCTGATCGTCAGACAGTCCAGTATTAGTGCTGAATCAGAGCTAAGTCGGCCGTTGAAACGACAGTACGTTTTTTATACATACGGAAACAAAATGCATTAAATTTAATGATATTTGTAGGTGAATAGACTAGAGTGCAAATACTAACTAAATCAATCTATGTCGAGCTTTAGAAATTAATATAAAGCGCTACACTGTACTGAATTATGCGAATACCTTTGTTTTCTATTGTCTAATCTAGTGTGTCATTTATTATTATTCACGATTTTAGAGAACAAATACTAAATGTGTGCAACACTTTGCACTATTTACTACAAACTAGTGTTAATTAAACAGTAGAAAACAATAGAATTAGTATAATTTAGCAGTAGTTAGTGGTATTTATGTTGCACAGTTTTAGTGTTTGTACTCTAGTCTTTGCATCTTTGGTTGCTTTTTTAGCATTTGCACTCTACCGCTGGCGAAAATTGTGCAGTGAATTAACATACGGAATATTATATGACATTGGACCAAGCGAAACTTTTATGTTTCGATTTGAAACTGATATTTTCAGTAGCGACCTAAAAAATCATGCAAGGAGTTTTAACATAAACAAACATAACAAAAGCAAACGAAACTACACAGTCCACAAGTACATGTTAAATACCTACAGCTGTAGGAATCCTAAAGTCAATTGTAAGTTAAGCTTTCGAAAGAGAAATTATATTTAATATGGCGCACTCCAGATCACGTCCTGTCTACTTAAGAATTATAAAAGCAATATTGCTTCGCAAAGCATTGAACGTTGGCTCTAACAACGGATATGTTGATGATATTTAACTTTATGCACTGAAATATCAAAGTATATCAGTACTACAGACTATATCTTGCAAAACAAAACTTAGAAGCAAAGGTAGCTTAAGGTTGATYTAAACTCAAACATCATACCTGGTGTTATCGTTGCACCATTCTTATTGTCCGCGAAGAAGTCTACTAGCGAAGGCTTACAATATGTTGCGATCAATGTAGCGTTTACTTCCTTATCGATTTGCACCAATCAAAGTCCGCTCACTCGACAGAAACAATACACTCGATGACATGTTTGCATTCCTCATTTGCGCTTGACGTCAACAGCCCCGAGACCTATAGGTTGAACTTTTGGTTCKAACGGCCGCTATAATAAAATGGTATAACTAACAGTTCTTAATAGCTGACATTATGAAAATTTTGCTTCATGATATTTTTATTGCTTGCATAAGATATCTAGGTTTTATTGTGATTCGTGCTCTGATACACTCAGTGCTTAGGGACAGGAGATGGAAACACTAGAAAATACATGACTAGGAAATACATGACTAGGAAATACATGACTTAGAAATACATGACTTAAAAATACATGACTTAGAAATAATGGCATTTTCTAAGCACAATAATCTTCCCTTATTTCTATTTCATGCATATATACAGCAACTCAGAAAGTAAAAAATAGTGTGTTTCAAAACCGAAATGCATTGTTGTTCGTTTTATTGGTTTTCAAAAGGAATCAGAATGACTAAACCAACCAGCTTCGAAATCAATCCAGTTTATAATTGTCACGTTGTAATGCCAGTTGATGTGGTTTTAATTGATCATTGAGTAGATTTTTGTTCTTCTTGCGTTTTGGGATTTTGGTGATTGAACTAAATAAACCAAACTACCTGAACTACTACAAATTTATTACAAATCTCTCTCCTTTGGGGTTTATATATATAATATATATATTATAATAACGATTATAATAACGATTGATGACGCCACTCTCAGGCCCGCACTATACGCCGAACCTCACATGTGCCGAATTACATTTTACGAATTAATTGCATGTGAGATGCGGCGTGTAAATCAATTAAATTTGACAGTATTGGATTAAATACGACTTCAGTCGAATCTGCGACTTAAACATTCGAAGATACGGCAATGGCGCGGCAGTTGATTTATACCCCGTATCTCACATGTTCCAAATGCAATACATACATTATTTTTCAATTCTTTTTTTTTTGTGTGTGTGTGAATGGTCCCTTTTTTGTGTGGTTTGAATGGATGAATGAAGAAGAAAAGGGAAATAATGAACATAAAATGGAGCTATTTTTCTGACTTTGGAGCRATTACACAACAACATTACTTGGCGCCATATTTAAATCTAAAGAAATCAACTTCAACAAGAATAACCTACTCTAGATTGGATCTTCTTGGCCTTAAAGGGAAGTTTTATCTATCATCTGAAGCCTTTTCATCTTTAAAACATCTCAAGATTCTTAATACCCGTCGTAATCGAGCTGGCCGTCGCCACAAGAGACAAAGTCGAAACATCTCTCCGATTATTACTAACAGAAATCAGTCTTCTTCTAACGACAAACATCGACGTGGTGTAAATCAAAATAATCTTGTACTACCTCTACGAATTCCCTTTACTCCTTTCATCAGAAAAAAGGCAACTTTTTGTCTTCTAAATACAAGGTCAGTATGCAATAAAGCATTATTTATAAATGATTTTGTGAGTGATAATAATGTTGATGTTGTTTGTTTAACTGAAACATGGCTAAAATCTGATGATCAACAAGTAATAAATGAACTTACTTGTATTTTTGGATCAATGTTTTTGTAGACGCAGCATAATTGTTAATGAAAGAATAGTCGTATGCGATATCGTTTCGATGTTATTGAGTTCAATAACTGATATTGGTAGAATATCAATACAACTTGGAAGTCTTTAAGCACCAATAGAGGTTTTTCGTGTGACGTCACGTTTCCTTGACAACGCGTTGGCGGCCATCTTGAAGGTCAACCAACAAGCTGTAACAGTCAGTTATTAGTGAAAACATGGTCGATTTTTGCTCCGTTGTCGGTTGTTCAAATCGCTCAAATCGAAATAAAAAGTTCAATTATTGTTTCCCGAGTGTAATCACTCATAAAGGTGAAAAAGCGATGGATATTTCGTCAAAAAGACGCGATAAATGGTTAGCAAACCTATGTCGGAGAGAATGGACGCTGAGTAAGCACATTCGAGTCTGTTCGGACCATTTCCATTCAGATTACTTGATCGATTGTCATTTATTTTGAGTTAAAATGTTGTTAATGTGCTAATTTAAGCAAAGCAAAGTTTATGGATAAATTTGTTACTATACCAAACGCCAAAATCTTAAACTGAACGACCGTGATCTTTTCGTATGATCGATCGATCGAATTTCAAATAAAGTTACATGTATGTCTTTATCAACTAGTCAAATGTCATTTTAGGAAAAACCACATTGCACCTAAACGGTTTTTCGTTCTTCCCAGTGTTTCTTATAGAATATACAAGTTTTTCCTTTGAGAAACAGAAGATGTAAAAACAATCTCAGAAACAGGTTCATAGCTTACTTAATCACCCAGTAGGCTTTTAGAAAAAAAGGGACTGTTTTTGTTTCCCGGTGTCGAATATAACATTCAATTGCAAACAGTAAAGCCCCTACGTGGGTGCATGTTTCTCCAAGACTAGCCATACAATTACAATGTGCGGAATTGGTCAAGAGTATAAGCATTTTACTTTAGAACGAGATATGTCACGAGATCCAAGAACGTGACTCGCCGGAAAATCGCTAATATTTGGGCTCCAGTCCTTGTTTTGTACTTCATAAGTATCTATATTGTTAATAGATGCTATTTTTGTAGACATCTCTCTTTTGAAGGTGGATCAAGTGAGGACAAGTAAGATTTTTTTGCGAACATCGTTAAAACTACATGTGTTTATATTGACAATGTGACCTTCAAGATGGCGGCCATCGGGGTTGCTACGGGATACGTGACGTCAGCGAAAAACCTCTATACTAAAAGGCTTTATCACAGACGACAAGTTTGTGTCAGTACTATCAATGAGTGGTCCTTATTGCTTGTGCAATAACTCAATGATATGACTAACAATGGTCTGAAATAAATCCACTATATTGATTGTCATTGTTTTATATCCTCGTTATCTTCCATCCAAAAAGGCTTCCGTGATTAAATAAATGATTAATCATAATTTCTTGATGAAAATGATTGATGGATTATGGATAATTCGTAGGAATAAATTGTTATAAAATAAATATCGCGCTCTGTGATTGATTGAAATTTGTAAAAAAAACTTGCGACTTTACACTTGCGATTTTTTCAGCGCGATAATCGCCACTTTGCTATCGCGCAACTAAAATCGTACGTGTAAACGCGATTGTTGCGGCGATGGAAAATCGCCGCGAAGTTGCAGCCAATTTTCAAACATGTTCGAAACTCAGGCGATGGTCACGCGACAATCGCCGCGAGAATCGTCCTGCAAAAATAGTGTTAACGAGCCTTATGAGAGCGTAAAACACGGATTTCAATCGGAAAGTTGTTGTTGTTTTATGATGATGTTTTTCAAACGTTCCCGCGAGTTTCTAACAGAGAATGCCCTCGTAAAAGACCTTCTAATGCTTAATTACGGAAATCTGAAGACTAAAAATCATGCATTAGTTTTTGTAGGGTTGCAATGCATTTGTATATTATTAGTACAAGAGACTCACTTTTAAATATAACAACACAAAAAGGTCTCTTAGAGTAATCTTTATTAGCTCCTGTAAGATACTCATGTCAATGACTTCGTTTCATGGCTATGATCATTAGTATTCGTGGGTTCATAACTTCTATTCTCATCGAAATCGTGATGTTTTGTTTCGACAGAAACCTTCCAATTTTAACGTCTGTCCAATTTAACTGATAAGAACATGTCTTTGTTTTGTCTTGTGGTTTTCATTGTTATTTCCTACAGGTACCTGCTGATTCCTCTAAAAAAAATTCTATTTTTTTTTCTGAAAATCACGTGTATTGAATTGGTTATATAACAGTAGTAGGATGTATTGACATAAAATGTAATCACATTGACATTAAATGTAATCACATTGTTAAAATGAAAAGAAAAGGTGGTTATGGACAGAACTTTAACACATTAACAAGATGCTCATCTCGATTTTTTTTAAATTCTTTCGTTTTTTTGTCTTTTGTTACAGTTCCTTTTAATTTGGTATCAATACCGTCATCTGAGTTTGTTTGATATTAACCGCACCTTGACTATTAGATTGTCTTTCGCGAATGTTGTCCGTATTTTTCTTCTGAGAATCCGGGAAGGGGGGTTATTTGTTATTATTTACAATAAAGAATTAAAGGGACCACGCCCATCGCCTTCCACCTTCCCTCCTCTCCATCGTCAGGGACAAGATCTAACAGTAAATAGTCAATATGAGATATAATTAACTTGCTTTGAGGGCAAAGACATCTAGAACTCTAACCACTATTTCCTATTTTTATCATCATTGCTCATATTAATGCTTTGTTTGCCTCGAGATATTGTCAATCTCAGTCCTTTCAATATTCCAGCAGGAGGCGTGACAAAATTGTATTATTTATTAATAAATAGCGTGAGTCTAAACATGTTCTTCGACGTTATGTAAACATATCTATAGCTTTATCTACTTCCCCGCTCCCCCAGCCAAAACAAAAATAGAAAAAGAGGCCAACTTGGTTGTGTAAGAATGTTTCTACTATTTAAGGTGATTTAGTTGGTAATGGGTGCATCTTGTCTTCAGCCCCAGAGGCTGAAAAGATTTGGTGTAAAAATAAGACGCAACACGTGACTCAAACTCTTATGTAACCGAAAAAAACTACAGTTGCAGCTCGAGAGATCCGATTTTAGAAAGGTATTTTGTTCAGTATGTTTTGCTTTTTATTTTGAAATTGATTTCCTTTTTTTTGTCTGATTTATTGTGAGTTTGTGTATCTGTTTTTGTGGACTTATTTTTCTTGTTTACCAACGTCTTTGGCACTATTTGTAATTCAATGACTTTGCAATAACTCAAGTCAATATTCCTAAATGAATCCTTGAATAGAGGTTATCAAATACCGGATGAAGTGTCCACAGATGTATGAACAGTGTTATGTAACCGAGTGTGACTACTAATCTTCACTTTAAGAGCCATTTTATAGCATAAAAACTCTTATTAAGCTACTGAAGGATTTCTAAGAAAAAATACTAACTTTAATCCATACTTATCGTGCTAATTTCGCAGAATATCTTATTTTAGGAGAGACGGATCAAGCGTATTATGTATGTCTTGTGGGGGTGTGGTCTGAGGCTGATCTTGCCAAGTAGATCTTTGCATACAAGCCTATATTACTGTTTCAAAGTTTTGCAACCATACATCTTTATAATGTTATTTTTTAAGTGCTTTGAAGTCAAATGATTATTTTTTAATCTCAGAGGTGTTTTACAGCACATTTTGTTTTGGATTTCGGTGTCATGCAAAAAAAGGTGTCATGAATCTAATTTTTGTTGGAATTTCAATTTTGAATGCTGGGTGTTCCAAGGAGTAAATTATTTTATTGGGAACCATGCGGATTCTATGAATATTGAGACGTTTAAAGCGTTAATTTGAGTGCGCAGTAAACAAATTCAACACAACGACTTGGCCACGAGGGTATTTCATCACGTTGTAAAGAGAAAGGCGTTCTATAAACACACTATGTACAAATCAAAATAGGCTTAAGTTGTTTCGTACTAAAAATGATCATATTTCGGATCTTACGGCTTCAGGCAGTACTATAAATATGTGAAATATAAACCTGATATTTCCGTAAACAGACTAGAATATGATGGTTGCAAGTCGGGTTAGTCACATTGTAAACGATCCGTATAACGCCGACGGATCAGTAACGCCGATGGAACGTGTTTTTGTTTTCACATGTTTTCGTCGCTATTCTTCGTTTTTAAGTTACGTTAGCAGCCATCTTGGAGGAACTTCAACAAACGATTTCTCATTAGTATCTATTGTCCATTCATCCAACATGGCCGCCGGTCTTTTATATTGTGAATCTCATGGGAATGGTTGAAATCAATCAATGACATCAAAATGGCATCAAAATGATTCAGGAACATCGTTTTATAGTGGTGTGCTTCCTCGTAAACTGCTAAGTATTTTTTATCGTGATCTTTGCGTGAACTACAAAACTTACGATGAATGGGTTTTTAAGAACAATTGTTTTTGAAACTATAGTGATAATTGAGTTTAGAGAGGTTCTCAGCCTCGAAATGATTCATGATCTGTTTCATTGGCCACACAGCAAAATTTCTAAGAAATATTTTATTATAGATAGACATAAACTGCTGTACCACGCTTTTTTTTCACGTGGTTAGAGAGCGGTTATTAAGTATAAAAACAGACGCCGTGACTTGATGGAGGCGTATTCAGGCTTTTTTAGTGTACGCTGTATTCTGTAAACATGTGACACGCTATTCCAGGCAGCTGAAAATTAAATGTATATAAAAAATGTTTATAATTTTCTAAATTACGTTATTCATCAAGTACCTTTAGGTCCTATTTAGATATCCATAGGATAACGTCCATGCTTTATAGAATGTTATCCGCAGACATTGCGTTTTGCCAGTTCAAAACATGAATTATTTAATATAGACCATCAAATTATGTTATGTACTTCGATGTTTTTCACCTCTTATGATATAATATTGAATACTAGTATGGATAAAATGTTTATTACCCGCAGGGGAAATTCCAAAGTTCTTTCTAAGTCGACAAGCTGAATAGATTCCAAGATGGCCGCCAAATCGCCGGTAATAATCCCCTCCCTACCCCTCCCTAGAGAGTTAGGCTATTTCAGACAGTTGTATAGTATTTCAGTATTGGGATTTTCATAAGATCCGACAAGGATGCTAAGCATATCAAGACAGAATAAATCCGAAAGGAAGTTTGCTCGAAAAATAAGAGTTCTACCGCCGGCGGCCGCGTGGTGCAAACTTCACGTGTTGTAGATCAAACGTTCTATTTCTTAGTTTGTTAGCCCCTTCACGTGTTGATCAATCATTCTATTTCTTAGTTTGTTAACCTTCAAGTGTTGATTAATCATTCTATTTCTTAGTTTGTTAACCTTCACGTGTTGTAGATCAAACGTTCTATTTCTTAGTTTGTTAACCTTCACGTGTTGATCAATCATTCTATTTCTTAGTTTGCTAACCTTTAAGCATGCATTTTAGTTATGATTTAATTTCATGATTATTCATTGTATTGTATAATGCTCTTAAAGCCTGTATTAGGCCTCGTCTGGACGACATTACTAGTTGGAAGAGAACAGTCGTGCGATCGAATAAAAATCTCTTATTTATTACATCTTTGGCAAACAAGGTTATCAGAAAAATTCATTCCCTGTATTTAAACGTTACTTTCCTTGTTTTCACTGTATAGTAAACAGACAATTCAGACGTTTTATGGAATTTATACATGAAATTTTTTATTCTCAGTTCATACTGGAGAAAGTCTTTTTTGGATTGAAATATGATATATTTCAGTTCAAATTCCTTAAAATTCAATCCTATCTTATATTCAACTGACCTTGAAATGAAACTACAGTCTTCTAATGTTTATTTTGAGTTCTATTTGCGTTTGTTTTTTTTAACGACGTTTGTCTGCAGACTGCCGACTATAGTGGGGGGCTCTGTAAATTTACCCTTTAGAAACTCGATAAATTATACATTTTGACAAAAACGTAAGTAAATAACAAGTGAAGTTGAAAGGGAAACCGTGTTTGTACTGCTTTTATGGCACAGATCACTGTGGACACAGAAAAGCTTTAATCAGTACGCATTTATCACAATTTGAGCACTTTTATTCTTGTTTTGAAACTTGAGTGTAGTACATAATGTGGTCGGCATTATAGAAACCCTTCGTGTCGTCTTTTAGAGTGGTTTAAACCCATGAAACAAAGTGCAATAGTCAGAGTGTGGTAATGTGTAATGCACAGGGGAAAAATACACAAAACAAAGCAAAAAAACAACAAAAAACATGAAGCATAAAGATTAAAAAAGTTTAGTTCGTTAAAGTTACAATGGTTAATGAAAAACATCCTGAATATTGGAGGTCATTTAATGTTTATTGTACATTTTTAATTATCGAAATTCTTCGCAGGCTAAATTGTTATAAGATAAACACAGGCAAAACGTTCAAAGTGTTTTTCATAATTCCGTGAAATACACGTTATTGAATTCGCTTTATGATCGTTATCTAACACATTTTCCTTCGTCGTTTCGAGTTGTTTTTGTTTTGTTTTTGTTTTACGGGTTTTCGGAAATATCTCCCTCTGATTACACTTATTCATAATCCCGGTTAAAAAGGCAGCGAAAACGGCAACGTTCATCATTTAGTCACGTGACAGTGATGAAAATTAAAAACTCAAGTGTTAACGCCTTTATTTATTGATAATAATTTAACATGTTTAATGACTGTACTTTAGTACTTGAATTTTGAAATATCGATAATTATGGAATTACTGAGACGTAATTAGGTCTTTGATGAAACTTTGTTATCCGAGCACAAAAAAACACTAGAGATTTTAGAGTTTGCAACTGTTTATTGATATTTCGCGGTCTTAATGGGGCTGTTTTCATTTACGCTTGAAATTCAATTTAAATCATTGACTCTTGGCGATCAAGTTATTTTTATTTTATATTCAGACGAGTTTTCTTTGCTTAAGTTAACGAAATTAAGGCGAATTCGAAGTAAATCGAAAACTTAACGACGTCCGCTGGTTTGGCCAGACACGTTATTGCTAGAGGTCATAACCAATCTTAGCTTGACTCTCGGATATTCTTTGATCGATGTCAATGATTGTAAGACTATCATCTTTTATTAATGGTTTGTAACAAGTAGCATCCGCTTTGGCTGATTGAAACGCCTTACGTAACCAGTATACTTGAATCATTTATGCACTTTCAAAGAAAAAGTCTGTCTGCATGTGAAATCCCTTCTCTTGTGAGTGAGATTTTCCATTTTTTATTTTGCCGAGGGGCGCGTTATGCAACTAAAATCGCCCATGACATCCATCCATGTATCATCCAGAAATACAAACTTGTGAAATCTCTTTTTTCAAAACTGATTTTTGTCTAGAGTTTGTTGTCACGTGACTTCTAAATTTATCCATCTTCAAATATTGATGCGATAAGCGATGCAATAAACTCTACTTATTACACAGTATCTCATGAGAATTTGTCATCGTTGTTTTGGTGTGTAAAAGCGGCGCGTTGACTGAGTAGTCTTAAAGATAGCGGCACAGTCCAGCAAAGATTAGCCATTAGTCATCTGTTCAAGGCCGCCATTAAAAAAACTCTTTTATTTTGTAAACAGCTTTTTATTTCATAAAGCAATCTTTCAATGTATTTTTTAATGTATGTTTTCTTTAAGCACGTAATTATTCCTACATTGTGCTAAAAGTAAATAGCTGTACCCTGCTAGTTCGATGACATCTCACTTTTCTATTTCAGTTCCACAGTGGGGTATTAAAAAAGCAATGAAAGCGGCTATTTCACAGCAGTGCTAACGATCTTTTCTATCTTTAAAAAAAGGGGAAAAAAGAAAATAACAAAACAACCATGAAAATGATTTGTAAATAGTGCAATAGAGTTAGAAGTTAAAACTGATGGTGGCCGCTCATCTGGTACCTTCAAAGAAATTATACCGAGTAATTCTTGAGTATATAATAAAAATAGGCAATAAAAATTCACATTTAGACAGATGGAGATAGATATACAGAAAAAATAGCAGTTAATCTAGTTATAGTATTTTAGGACAACAAGCGATAAAAATTCAAAGTTATACAAAATTGAATAGCAGGCAGTCAAGTTAAATAAGTATATTTTATGATACAAGTTAAAAAAGTCGTACATAAAAACATGACCCAAAAACATGTCCTTGTAAAGTCCTTGGATCACTCGAATAAGTATTTTTGTCTCTGACATATTTATATCATAAGCGAGGAATTTATTTCACCGCAAACGTATTTATATTTCTAAGAATTGTTGAACGAGCCTAAAAACTCGATACTCTTAAAGGATCTTTTGAGTATTCTTATCTGTGTTTTTATCAGTCATCTGGGAATAAACGTAGACTGAGGGTCAGCTGCCTCCCGCGCTTCTGAGAAGAGTCAGCATTTGTAAAGCAAACAGTTGCTATAGTAGCCAAAAACATGGTATTTAGTTACCAAATATTAGCATTTTTCGACCAGGAAAATACTATAGATCAAAACAAATAATTCAACTTCATCATTAAAACTACCTTTGATAAGTTTAAGATTCTCAGAAAACAAGAAATATTTTAAATTTGAACATTTGTTCGTCAAAAAATGATTATTCATATCAATTTCACAAAATCAACGTATCAATATTGAATGAGAAATCTCAATTCTTGTTTTTACAATACCTATAATGGTATAAAAAGTACTTTTTTCGAAATGATCTTCAAAATTAGCTTCAGATATATTGATATTATTCTCAATTTTATTATTTTGGCAGGAAAAATCTTCAGAAAATATGTGTTCGATTGTAGAATGTTTATTGATGTTTTTTTTTTCGGGCACGCACTTAACTTGTCATCTAATATCAACATTTTGCGTCTGAAAAATAAGTTCATTTGTGGTGGGCAATAACACTTTTCCTTGATGTACTAATGTTATTCTTCAAAATTGTCGTGAATGAGACTTAATTTGATCCTTAAAAAAATCCAGATATCTTTGCGCTCTTTCTTCTTTACTGTGCGTCAAACGAAGTACGAAATTTCGTATACATTTGTAAAAAATCGACTACGTTTTACACATCTACGTTAGTTTATTAATAATAGGGAGGTATTTTAATATAGAAATGAAGAACACGTCAATGTTGACACGCATATGTCTGCTCATTGTTTAAGAGAGAGGAATTCCACACGCACAAAAAGGCCGCGATTCTTTTGTACATCACCGATTTGACATGAACTTCTCGCACGTTGTTTTCTTAAATATCTTTTAACGTAAAAAAACGATGTTCTAAATTGCTTCTTAAATTGAACCATTCTTTGGGAAAAAAACACTTTTAATTGTAGATAACTTTCTCGGCGGATATAGCACAAATAAAGACGACCCTAAGAAATCCCGACCGAAATCAAAATACACGCAACTCATTCTGCTTAGAATTCCTTCTATTCAGCGTATCATTCTAGTGAAATTTCTATAAAAATCCCTTGTTCTATATCTAGGTATGCTATAATCAGTAACCTGTTGTGGTGAATGTTTGTTGTTTTGCATTGTGCCACGATGACACGTCTTTCAAACATCCAAAGCACTCATCGTGTTGACATGGACACATGACGTCATCGACATCGCCGTGGCAAATTGATGATTGGTGGATCGATCGCCGGTCCTCTGTAATAAATAGCCAGAGCAAAACACAAACAGAACACTCTGACAGCGCGAGAAGACAGTTCACTTGTTATTACTGAGAATCGCTGACCATAAACAAGGATTGTATTTTGGTGGATTTTTTTTCTGAGAAAATGGACTGCAAACATGTTTCCTATGAAGATGGTGGCAGCGGCGAGAGCGCCGATGAATGGAAGCCACGACAACGCAGTGCTAGTACTTTATCTGACCAGCTTCTAGAGGAATATGCAAAAACAGAAGAGAGCAATGAAACGTTCAAGAAGAAATACGACGAAGCGCACAAAAATGTCTTCGGATCGAAATCCAACGAACATTATGATCATTCGCCGCTGAGCTTAAACGACAAGGTGAACGCGGCAATCCAACATGAACTTCATGCTGTTCCAGAAATCAAATTCTTCTTGTGAATTGTAAATTAGTGAAGCATACAAGGTGACATTGAATGCTAAAGATATGGACACTTGAACTTCAAGATCAAAAAAGACATTCATCAGTACAGTAGAACAAGATTTAAGAACGCTTCACTCAAAGGACAATTAAAATTTGACTGTAGATAAGGCATTGAGTAAAGAAGGCCGTAAATTTTCTCTTATTGATGAATGGCGTGTCAAAACTAGGAAAGACACTTTAAATGGAACTTTAGGGTCGAACTACGAATTGAAAGATTTTTGTACAGATGATTTCTACTTAAAAGTATTCATACAAATAACTTATAAGGAGTTTATAAAAACTATGGTTTTGAAACCAAACAAACAACGTATTTTGGTGATTTTTCTGTTGTAGGAATCGGTTCTTTTTCTATTTTTTAGAATAAGACTTACGGCTGTACTCAACTATTTTATGAAGAAAATCTCTTTAATTGAAGTTGTAGTAGAGTAAGAGATGTTTTGCGTCATACCAGTTGGAAGCTTACTCGACTTAAAGATTTTGTACAAAGATTATATTTGTAAAATGGACTTGTAGTCAATCATATTGTATATAAATAATGGCATTTTTGTACTATAGAGAATTTCAAATCGAAATATATTCACATAGCTGAGAATTGTGGTAATTATTGTTTGCGTTTTATCTTAACTTTAGCACGTATTATTTGTTTTTGAGTTAATCTTCCCATGCAATCCAGTCAAAACTCCAATCCCCGGCTTCACTGTTTTGAATTTTTTAACATTTGATTCACCTTTAACTAAAAATTTTGATATATTTAAGAATGAGAAATCCTCCCACTACACCACTGAATCGACATCAAATCTTTTGAGAAATCGAAGACCTTATCGATCCATCAGCCTAACCTGGCAGGCAACATTAAAAGTTTTTATTGTCATGTATATCCCGTCGATATAGGACTCGTAAACACCGATTAGCCCACATTGTATAATGATTGGGGACAAGGAAGAAAATATATAAAAATAGAATTGAATTAACGTGAAAAAAGACGATGTAATATTTCGTACTATACTAGCAGCCCTGAAAGTAAACACATGTAACCTTATAGTTCTATATCATCTAGACAGGGCTAAGCTTTAAAGCGCTTGCTGTACAAAAACACTTTCCACATGTAAAATCCACATGTAAATCGGTTTTTTGTTTTAGCACTTGATAGAATAACATCCTTTGCGCGTGTTTGCAAAACATTTAGTTTAAGTCTCAACTAATTAACTGAAAATCGTCTTCGTGTAAACATTTTGGAATGGAAAAGTGGGAAATCAAATTAGAAGAGAGAAAAATATTCTTATCTAGTAGATAAATTTTCTGTGATTGGTACTGTTTGCATTATGACGACATTGCTTTTTTTCTTGTATTCTATCTATAATTATTCGAGTTTTTACTAACATTTTGGAATGGAAAAGTGGGAAATAAAATTAGAAGAGAAAACATTTTCTTATCTCGTAGATAAATTTTCTGTGATTAATACTGTTTTCATTATGACGACATTGCTTTTTTTTCTTGTATTCTATAATTATTCTATTTTTTACTAATTCTCTGATCTCAGAAAGGTTGTTCAAGTGAAAAGACATGTAAGAAAATTAAAGTGAAAATTAAAGTCGTCTTGCATGTGTCATGTTTTCAGTGTCTTAATACAACACAGCACCTGTAACTCTGAAGTTTTTAATTGAAATTCGTCACCTAGAATTTCAAATGGAGTTCGTCATTGTTATCTTGATATCCTGCAGCTGATCAACTGACTATTTCAGAGGGTAACTATTTCATTATTTTAATTTCTTTTCTCTCATGTGATCATTATGATGATTTATACAAAAAGACACGAGCTATTTTAAGAAGCTTCTTTATTTAACCTGCAAGACATCTATAATCAGAGATAAACTGCAAATTTCTATTAAAAAAACAGCAATTAGATTACTTATTTTTAAACTTCTAGTTTTAATGGAAAAACTCTCCCACTCATTTGTGCAGGGCGTTCATACGTTAAATCGACCTGTTGATTAGGATAACTTGTTCTTTTTGTTAGACTACAACTTTAAAGAAATCATGAATATTCTTATTTGAAGAACGTCTGTGAAGGATTAGTAAAAGCAAGCTAAAAGCTTGGATTAAAAAAACAGACAGACCTGAGACCATTATGACATTGGCTACCAATCTCTCTTCAGAGTACTCTTAGTTCAACGTTATTGTTTTCTTAATACAATGTCTTGTTATTTACATTACAAACAAGATATTTAAATGACAGTTTAAGCTATTTAAAACCTTTGCAATTTTAAGTAAAAAGTCCTTAACATAGAAAGGTCTGGAGAGACTGAAGCGTGCAAAAAAACTCGTCGTCCAAGTACTTTTAAATGTTCCAAATCTTTTTGATATTTTACACTGTTTTTATGTAACTTAATGTCGGATCCTGTTCTCTATGTATGTATCATTGCTATCTATCCGAGCCTGAGGCGATAAGACTACTAACAAAACAAGATGACTCAGCATAGCAAACAACTGATCGACAAACTACGGCTGACCGGAACTCATGAAGTTGTTTCACCGTGATGTTTTTTTCATTGCTTGATGTTTTAATGTTGGTGTAAATTTTATTTAGAATGTTTTGATTTTTGGGCAATGTTGAATGGTATTGTTAGTGAACGATATTGAATTGAATTTGAATTTGTGGAAGACTGGTGAAGGGATCATGCAAAAAATCTTCCCCCATATGTGAACATCTGTACGGGGCCAAATGAACTATTGTCCTTTCCTCTTTGTATAAAAAATAGAAAAAAGAAACCATAGAGAATGAAGCAAAGAAAGTTTAAGTTGACTCAGAATGGAGAATTTGTATTTATACGTATCAAGTGGTGTGCGTGGTTTGAATTAATGCCTTTATATAGTCCTTGCACAGGTGTTTATACACTCTCGTTTAAACAACTCTGGAAGCGGAACTTTTGTTTACGAGAACGATGAAGCGGCACTGCGGGGAACTTGAATAATTAAAGTTGGGTTTCTACAAAAGTGCACGTTTTGCCTCTAAAAACGATTGTTATTATCATATATTATTAATTATTATCCTTAGTGTAAAAAAACTAGTTTTCATTTTGATTTACCAAACGATATAGGATGAGATTTGTACTCTAGTTCTGATGGTTTGAAACTCTCTATTGAGACTAGTGAACATATTTACCTAATTTGAAGACTCTACACCATCGAAGCTAAGGCCGAAAGGCAGCACGGGAAGGCACGTACCGAGGCTAAAATCTCATGCATTTCAAAGTGTATTGGTTCCCGATTACCAAATAAAATGGGTATTTTTAAGGGAGCGAGAAAAACAGAATACTATCCCTGTCGAGTTACGCAAGAATTCGAATACGCAGGAAGCACATCTGGTGAGACACCATAAAAAAAAACTTTTCAAAGGGTTTCCTGTCCAGTTCATTAAAGAATTCTCTTTTTCCTTTCACTTCCTGATTGTAAACTAGTTCTACGTGAGGTGACAGCAGTGTTTGACGCACATTCAAGTGTTTTTCTTCATAAATCGGTCTAAAAATAAAACATTTTTTTACTGATATACTATATAAAACGTTTTAATTCAGGCTTGTTTGTTCGCTTTTGGTTGGTTTTCTGTTTCAAGGTTGGGTTTCTTTTTGACTCTTTTCTTTGGTGGTTAAGTCATTTCATGTGATTTTTTATCATATATAATTAACTGATTGCTTACTCTTGGTAAAATAAAGATAATTTTTAGACTTTCTAAAATTAATATTATTAAGAAATGAATCAGAACACAACAAAAAAGATAATGTAAAACTTAGCATGTTTTCTTGTACTATTATTGAGGTACGTTTTGATTATTTCTAAACCGGTTGTTCGTTGTTCCGGGTCGAAGAGTCACATTGACTGATGGTCGTTCTAACTACAGTCATCTCTTGCCTTGAAGACTCTTGTTATAATGACCGACTCAATAAAGGAATGAATGCGAAATAACTCCTTTTATAGCGGACACTCGCTATTACGGACACCTTAATTTTGCTCCCGTAGTTCGTAATAACGAGGGTGTATTGTACTAAGGATACCTCCCTTCACAGCGGACGACACTCGCTATGTCGGACACTTACTTGTGTTGCTAAGGTGTCCGTTATAAAGAGGGTGTATTGTACTAAGGATAACTACCTTTACAGCAAACACTCGCTATGTCGGACACTTACTAACGTCGCGAAGGGTGTCCGTTATAACGAGAGTTGACTATAGAAAGGAGAAACTGATGGCCTTCGTCTACAAGACGACGAGACTTTTGCAACCTTAGTTTGATTCTACCGAACCTTTTTACTGAATTTATTGATATCGTTGACGGTATCAAGCAACTTATAGTCGACAGAAAACAGGCTAGACTCCTAAGCAGGTTATTCCTGTAGCATTTCTCGTTGGGTTTCCTTTTTACAGATGGCCGCGAAGGGACTGTGAACGAGAAAATGAACACTACATTACTTTGAGAACACACTTTCTAGGACATGGATTCTTAGTCATGAGATTGCATATTTAAGAAAGAGAAATCTCGTAAATTATATTTTTAACTGCACCAGTCGTATAGTCTTAAGTGCTTTAAGAAGTTCAGTTGTCTTTTTGAAGAACATCACATCTGTCATTTACATCCTTCCGATTCACTTCATGCAATGTAGGAAAGGTCCCGGATGTTGCTTGGTCAAGGTCGTGCCTTATGTATTGTTGACATTGTAGTTCATTCATTGGCTGAAAGTGTCATGAATCCGAAAGGAAATCGATTCTTTCTAAATATAGAATATACAAGATATTGCCAAGGTCAACCATCATGAGGAACTATAAAAAAGTTGAGTTCTAGGGCAAGATGTAAATCATTTCGACGCACGCATCAGCTGTATAATGTCTCCAAAAACTCATCCCTAACTCTTTAGTATTCTCATCAGAGAAAGTTGTTTCTATGAAGTCCTACAAAACAAACTCGACAAGGAATTTGACTTTACTGGCAATGAGTCATGGGAAATATATTCATGCAATGTATGCTGGGTAAATACATGTTTCTTATATTTCTGAATTTTGCTAAATAACTAACTTTTAAAATTAAGCGAAACGCGTTTCTTTTTGAATCATTGCGAAGTCAAATACGCTTTTTAAATCCTTTATTGATTTATTCGTGGTGAAAATTATTTACAAATTTCTGGAGTGGTTTTGCTAAAAAATGCTGAAGGTCTTTTGCCATATATTACATCTTATTTCATCTAGATGAAAGTTAATATATATTATATATTACGAATATCTAAATTCGTTTTCTTTTCGGTTGTATCTTTCTTGTCTCTCTTAACTTTAGTGGAGGAACAATAATATTTTGTTTGATATCACAATGTTTTCGTCTGAAGAAATTTTGCTTACATGTATACATCGAGAAATATGAATAAATATTAGGTCCACCACCTGCATGATAGCGAATTTGTATTCATATTGATGAATTTGACATTGCATTCATTGTACGTCATAATAGTATTCTTCCGCCATTCGCATATGGGTTTCCTGTGTCGCAGTCATCATCCACAATGCACCACGATGCTAATCTGTAGGAGAAATGTTTGTCAAAAGTTCCATATA